ATTCCGGTCTTGAGGACATTGGATATTCAACGAATACTTTGCACTACACTTCGCACACGCGTCACTACACTTACACTCACTCTTATTAACATATTTCCGAATATTCGTTGAATCAATGGGTAAAAGACCCAGACGGTGCGCCAGCATTTCATCTTGCAACACACCCGAGTTTTCTTCTATACTCACCAAGTCTATTGCCATAGTCGGAACCTCGGCTATCTGCAAGACATTGTCAGCCACAAATGTATACAGGTAAGGGTACATAGGTAAGGGTATATAGGTAAGGGTACATAGGTAAGGGTGGCGGGCGGGGAATTCGCACACATGTGTGTGCTTGAAGAATTACCATGACACGTCTGAGAGCATTAGCGAATGACACATCACAATTTTTGAGAGTAAACTTTATCCTGTCCCTAGTCACGTCTGTGATTTCCAGCTGTGGGTATCGGATATACCTGGCTTGGAACATTGATGGTTAGTCTGGGCCGAAAAAAACTTAATGGGAGCAAGTGAAGGTGCTGAAATCGCATTGTGAGGAGTGGAGGTGTTGTCTTTTTTCCCCGGACCAATCGTGCTGGGAAAAGTCGAGCATGGCCCCTAAAGCTGCATTGAGGTAGGTGACGGTGACCGAGTCGTCGAGACCCCTCATCCAGGTTTGCGTGCCGATGTGTTCTTCCATGGGGAACTTGCCGAGAACCCATGGGCGCACCGTGAACCACGAGGTATGTAGCGGAAGCTGCATATCTGCAGCCAAGTCGCCGTCTTGGCTTTCTGACGCCGGAAATGCCTCGGGACGTATCCGGCTCGAGCTCAGAGAGGACAGCTGGTCGTTTTCGACCTTGACAAGGTACTGATTGTAGTTCTCAAGTATCGATTTATTACAGATCAGTGTCATGGCTCCGTGGAGAATAACATCGCTCTCCGAGGCCTCAAATTGGTGCCAAAGGGTTTCGATTCTCTTAGGGTGCATCAGGTCCGAAGGGGTAAAGAAAGAGATTAGCTGTGATGACACCAGTGTCTTTGAAGCGCCAAACAATCGATTCTCTTCGTCCGAATGCTCGTCCGTCCGTGTCCAAACCCGTACGGCTGGCGTCTTCACGAACACATCGTTCATGATGTAGCCAATTTCCTTGTACAGGGTATTCAATGCTTTCTTTTCTTCATCTGCCCGGGGCGCCCAGGCTACTCCAGTGAAGTTGCTAAAGTCAAACTCCTCTTCCCCTGGGAAAAATAACGGACCTTGGTAGTTGCTACTCAATGGTATATTTATAACAAGAATCACTTCAGCCGGCTGAACCGTTTGGGTTCCAACCGATCCCGCAAATATCGGTAATCTCGGAATGTCTTCAACGTAAGCAGGAACCACCAACGAGATCGGAGCCACCTTCACAGGGTCTTCAGCACAACACCCCAACAACAGTCCCAACAGTCCCGCAGCCTTGCCAAACATCCAGAAATTTTTGCCCCAGAAAATACACCAGATCTAGTACTAACGCCGCCGCCCCCGCAAAGACCGCTGGGCAATCTTATACGCAATACCGGCAGCCAAAACACCCATGAAGGCGCACCCGGTCACATACCATATCCAGTCGGCGAAAATGTCGTCACCCTCTAGCCCCATGTTCCAAGAGCTATACACTAAAAAAAATGAAGAGATCAACACTGGCCCATGTTGTAACCCAGACGTGCTCACCCGTGCCGTAACTCAACCGAGGCGCAGACTCCGCGGAGCATAACTCCGCGGAGCAGACTCCGCGAGCAGCGCTGTTTGTAGGGCTGTTGCTCTACATTGTTGGAAGGTCAGGCATATTGAGTGGTAGTGATATCCCTTGAAGCTTACGAGCGGCGTCGAGCTGACGTTGGGGGTGCAGTCGCATTGGCGGACGTCTGGTGTGTCGTATGAATACGCGCTCCGGCACTATTTCGTGCTCGTACGGTCCCAATGATTCTATGCCCGGCAGGTCCTCGTGTGCGTACTGAATGACAGGGACGCTATGTCCTGGGCCACGCCCTCCCGGGCCACGCCTTCCCGGGGCACGCCCATATACCCAGGCATACCTGCAGCATGCTGTCGGATGGACACACGTTGTCGGCCTCATTTTTATTCCCAAGCGGCCCGGCAACAGTTTTGTGACCAGGCTGCCATCACAAAGGCATTGTCCGGCCGCACGCGCATTTCCCCTGCTCCGTGTCGCGTCTCCCCGCTCCGTGGCTCATCCAGATCGCGTCTTGCTCGGATCGGCCTCGCTGAGGACGCGTCTCGTCTCGTCCGAATGCGCTTGTCTCCGTCGCTGGGTGCGGCAGCAGCCTGTTTCATGACACTTGTCGAAGGCTTGATTCGATGACGACGGTCTTGGGCGTGGTCTCGGTCTTGGGCGTGGTCTCGGTCTTGGGCGCGGTCTTGGCCTTGTGCGGTCGGTATTAGACGCGGTTTTGGGCGCAGGCGTATGTTGGATGACGGGGGGGGGGGTCACATGTCGAAGGGTCACATACCGAAGATGGAGTTGAGTTCGACGGGTGGTGTGCGGAAGGTATAGACGTTCCCATCTCGTTTTTCGAGAGTGTTATGTCTGGCGGCTGCTCGATTGCGTTGCGTAAGTAATTCGCGGATGTCGCCTACGACACTGCCATTGATGTTGAAGAAGCAGTGTCGTAGTCCGTGCACATTTGCGTCGAGGTAGGTGCAGTCTATGACGTCTAGGTCTAGCCATTCGTACTCGGCATCGGCGGCCAGCTCGGCAGGTGGTACGTCGGTCGCCAATTGCGTCGGGCCGTCGGTGACGCTGGTCGTAGAACGTGTCTCCATCGGCGATCTCGGAACCTGCGGTCGCTGAACCCGCACATAGCCAAAAGGGTGCTTACCCATACAGCGCCGTCCACGGCTCAATAACTCTGCACTCGCCAGAGCCTCATCACTTGCATGCGTATACACTGTCGTCTGACTCGCAATCCGCTGAGTCGCCTCATATCCGCCACCCAACACAAAGTCATCCAAGTAATGTTCCGGGTGTAGGAACACCAAATTCAGCAGATTCAACCGAGGGCTCGAAGTGGAGGAGTCGTCGATGCTCTCATTCTTTGCATAGTTCTCGATAAACAACTTTTCTCTAACAATACACTGGTACGGGGAATGTATGTGTGTGTGTGCTGTGTGTGTGTGCTGTGTGTGTGTGCTCTGTGTGTGCTCTGTGTGTGCTGTGTGTGTGCTCGTACTTATTAGCATATTTGAGGCTGTTCAAGAACAGTCTGGACCCCATGGAGTGTGCTAGTATATGTACATTTTTTACGCGATTGTTAGCAAGGCTTTTGAGGAACATAATCAAGGCTCTTTGGCACAAGTAATGGTGGGAGGCCCGGCGGGCTTGGTAGTAGTGCCATACCTCGGTACCTGCGGGCCAGAGAAACATGAAAGGCTTGATCTTATTGGGGAACCCGCCTAGCGCAATTAGTTGTCCCAGGAGCAAGGGTGCTTCGTGGAGGGGCGTTTTGTAACCATGAATGAAGACCATAGCTTCCAGAGTGTCGCCTTCAAAGTCTGGACCACTCCCTCTAGTCCACCCTCGGATTCCTATTTCGGTTCCCAGGGCTGGTCGAGGTGAGTCCATGACGGTAGTTCGGTAGTCCTGGGGCCACGCCGCTTCGTCCTCGAAATCAACTAGACGAACTCGTTTACGGCAGTCCCGTGGCTCCATTGTCAAACCACGTCCGTCTGCCTCCGGTTCACTATTCCTGCGCCACCCCTGGGGCACGAGTTTGTCTTCGCAATCGAGCTTCACCGTTACGCTCCTGTTCGAGTTTATATCCGTGTCTTCCAAAGGCGAAGGCGGTATATGGTAAGGGAGCATCCTCTCAACGACCCATTCCAACCCTTTAGAACACATACTTCTTGTCTGCTCCGTTTCGTCACTCCCGTAAATGTCTTTGGTCCCTTGCAGTTCGTTTTCTAATACTGAAAGACCAGAAGAAGACCCCGAAGAACCTCTCTCCGGAACGCTCGATTCATTGACACTAAATACATTGTCATTGGAACACGATACCTCATCGTCCAGGCACGGGGGATACTCAATGGGAATTGGCGTATTGTGGACTGTTGTCGCCTTGCTCACGATCCCCGTCCGCTTTTTTTTACTCCGGCTCCTTAGTCTCTCCAGCTCTAGCCAGGAAAAAGAGCTGAGTCGGTTATTCAGACCTAGAGCGGGTCTGGAGAGTGTTTCAGTCTTGTTTAGGGGACATTTCCAGTAGATGAATTTGGGAAACTTCCTGAAGAACTTGCCGAATATGGAGCATTCTACGTCCAGTAAGCCGAATTCGTAGTTGTCTGGGATGAGCGCCTCATCACTGGTTCGATTCCCGGTGTTGCCCCCATAGACCTGCTGGCGAGAGTCAGATGAAACAAAGTCGAACCGCATCCACCCGAGTCTTAGCGCAGTGAAGCCACTGCCGCAGGTGTTTTGGCGGGACGCAAAGGGGGCAATAGGTCTCCCGAATTCCCAGGCGCCATTCAAGCTTTCGCCGAACTCTTCTCCCCATCCTTGGACCCACACGCCTAGACCGTGTGGTCTTAGTAAATCATCAACCTGACCTACGTAAATACAGCAATACGCGCAGCAAAGAGTCTTGATGGTGTTCGGGGGGAGGTAGCTAGCCTGGGGACAGAAGCAGATCGGAGGTCGTAATCTGATAATTCGCCAGAATGACCAGAGCTTCTTCCGCCACCAGTAGTTTCTTCCCTCGCAATCGAAGGGGCATGCCTTGATTGTGACGGAAGACACGTTGGTACTGATCCTGGAAATGCTGGTTTTGATGGTGGCATATTGAGACCTGCTTCTCATTGACAGTCCACGTTTCGGGGAAGTGAAGGTTGAGTAGCTTCGGAAGGATCCGCCATTGCCCTTGAGAGAAGATGACGTTTGGCGCAGAGCACTGCCACTATGGGTGAGTAGCCCAGGTCCGGTGGCCATCGGGGACTCTTCACTTGGTTCGATCACCAGTTGTGCGCGCCAAGCGCTCAAAAAGTAATCAGAACGAAGAATGTATGCCCGGGCAAATGGCAACGCCAATTGCGATGTCAAGAAAGCCATAAACGCTACACAAACGTGGTAACCAACCATTATATACAGTGCCACAGGATACTCTTCGGTCTTGCTCAAGAAACATTTCCCGGCCGCGATCTTGTAGACTCCTCCGCACGCACCAAAAACCAGACAACAGTAACTCCCAAAGATAGAAAGCGGCGCAAAACGAGGCGTTTGGGACGAAGAAGCGTACACAATCATACTACCCAACGCCGCCGCCCCGGCCGCCATAAACCCGTAACGACTCCTCTCCGCCTTATCTGCAAGTGTCGCTTCTTCACTTGCGTCGCAATTAAGGAAATATTCTATCAATATCAAACCCAGCGAACTCAAGTAGTATGCAAGTACTCGCGTAACTCGACGACTGGCAGAAAATGGCCCATGGTACCAACGGATCCAACTTCTGTAACGCATTGTCCGAACTGTGCTTTCAAGAAACGCGTCCAAGCTCAACGCCGACTTTTGACGCAGGGACGAACGGCATCGTCTCGGTGATGCCTCTGCTAAAAAGTCCAAGTCCCGCGACGGCTCCATCGCATCACAAAATTTACCCGCAACTCTGAGCCAACTCACACCTCTGTTTAGAAACACACGCACGTGTCTAGAAACCACTCCCCAAAGAAAACATAACTGATATATCCAACCTCTCGGTGTCACCGACAGGCCAAGGCCATGGGTAACCAGCGCCACGGATGCCAGCGCCATGGATGACAGCACCGTGGATGACAGCACCATGGGTGCCAGCGCCAGACGGTGGACCGTTGGTGATTTCGTGGCGAGAAAAATCCATGATCACTACCGCGGCAATGGCAGCCTCAGTCAACGCAGAATTTGAAAGGATAGTGAAGTACGAGACTCTGTCGGATGCCATGCAGCTGCTACGAGAACTGGAAGGTGCTTCGGATAAGGCTCAATCAATAATCAGAGTAAGGGGGGAATGGTGGTGACGGAATATGGGGGTCATGGTGACGGAATATGGGGGTCATGGTGACGGAATATGGTGGGAAGAGTATATTATTTTAGGCGGGCGTGGAAGAGAACTATACCACAATATTTACCGCGAGTGATGCTCTGGTGAAGATGGAGGGTCAGTTGAAGGATACATTGAAGATGACGGAGGATACTATGGATCACATGAAGTTGTTGGAAAAGAATTGCTCAACCTTTTCTACGGCTGAATTCCAGGAACTCGGCAACTCTCTACGAACCATACAGCGAGCGTTATCGATTCAAAAGGTCAGAGAAACTCCAGGCTTGGTCCGTAAGCTGTACTTACAAAAACAATATGAACGAGGTCTTAAAGTGATTAGAGAGTGCCTGACTGAGCTCCCCGGGGAGCAACTGCCCGGCCAAGTGGAGGGTAATGAACGAAAGGAGAGTAATGAACGAAAGGAGAGTAATGAACGAAAGGAGAGTAATGAACAAAGGGAAGATCATAACGATGACAACAGCGTTGACGAGATTATTCGGGAGCTTCGGGAGTTGGAGAAAAATGGTATGCATAGCTTATGCGAATCTCTATCTGTATTCTGGAAGACTGCAGCTCAGAACCCGACTAGCTGGCTAGAAAAACCTGGCTTGAAGCACGAGGTCCAGAAACTAGTTCAGGACCCCACGGAACAGAGGCTGTTAAATTGTTTACAAACACTGGGAATCGATGGGTACGTATTAGAGAGCGCTCGTATGTATTCTTTCGCCCAGGTAATCGAGGCTTTAACAAGCGGTAATATTCTTGATGGCGACAGATCCTGCCATTTAGAGCAGCCAATAGCGCAGCGTACGTTACATGGCTATTCCCAATATGCTGCATTGTTATACCTGGAATCGGCGGAAACAACATCAGAATCCAGTGGAGGACCTGCATCAAATATCGTTCTATACTGTTTAATCAGCCTCAGGATTGTCTTGGACTTGCTGAAGTTGAAATCCGTTATGCCCGAATCATTGCATGATGATTTCGATTGCGAAACACGCGTGTTTGCCGCGCAATTTATTTGCAGAGATGTGTTCAGCGCTTATTGCAAGCGCCTGACATTTGGCTCATTTAGTACGTACCTAATTATCAGTAATGTGCTGCCCAAGATATTCCCCGAAATCGATCGACTCATGTCCACTGTTAACGCCTATTCGTGTGCAAACATGATGTTCGAAATTGTCAAGGAATATTCTTTCAGTTTGTTCGTGGACCTCCTGGACTTCGGCTGCGAGCACCGCCATACGCTGGCCGACTCCTTCATCCAAAACGCTTCTATGTTGCAGCATAAAATCATGGCAATTCCATTGAACAAAAAGCTGTTGGCGGAAACTCTGTATTCATACATAAAGTTGTACTGGATTGGCTGCGTCGTCGTGGGACAGGTGGCTGAAGTCCTGACCCCGGCCGATTTGGCGGTGCATCGGCACCAGTATCGGCCTGGCAGTCCCGTACAACGGAGCGCCGTACAACGGAGCGCCGTACAACGGAGTGGCGCTACTAGTAACTCCAGCAGTCGGCGGTCCAGTCTTGTTGCGGCCCCTGACTGCGAAGCATCCACCGGAACGGTCCCCTTAGCAACCGAATTGCCATTCCTTGATCTTTTGATTGCGCAGGCCCCTATTATTACAGATGACAATTACAAAAGCCCGATTTTAGCCAACATGCTTAACTTCAAGGCCGCTTTGGAGGAGCAGCTGGCCGTCTACGACCGACCGGTTGGACAAGACTCGACGGCATCTCAGCACCGACGACAATTGTCGCATCGCAGACAGCCGTCGATCAGAGAAATGCCAAGCGACAAAGAATCCGCTGCGGTTTTCTTAAGTGTACTGGATGCGTTGGCATCCATGGAGGAAACGGCTAAGAAGGAGTCTTTGAAGTACGGGATAGAAAGATGGGGATGTGAGACTTGGAATCCGTTCATTGAAAAAATTCATGGCAATATTCGGATCAGTATTCAGGCGTCTCTGACCACTCAGTCCTATGCTCTCATGTTAGAGAAGTTCCAGAACGCCAAGGCGACCTCAGTCAATACATTTAATAGGTATCAGCATTCAATAGTTGAACCTATTATTGCGTTGGTTCTGCAAATCGGCTTTCATCTGGCCGACATGGAAGGGCCAGTATTGCACCCTGGACTTATGGAATACCTGGGCAGCAAATCTGATCCGGAGCTGGCCAATCTGTCTATCGAGACAACCCTTAAATGCAACGACAAAGCCATCGAGACAGCAGCCATGAAAACGTGCAGGCCCCAAAAAGGCCAGTGGATTGAACCACTGGTTCTACGATCCTTCCTTAGCGCCCTAAGCAGCCTGTTGGGCACGTCGTCCAAGGCGCTCACGACACAAGACCTGGACGACGAGGAATTGGAAAATTACCAATGTAATATTCTCTGGACAATATGTCGACTCTCAAAATTTCTCTTGAAGCCGTCCATGAAACAGAAAGAAGTCTATCCGATGTTGGCGGGCATTACGTACGGACTCTGCAAGAAGGCCAAGGGATTCACACCAAACATGAGTAGATGCGTGTCGAGGGTTGCTAACCATGTCGAGGGTTGCTAACCATGACCAGCGCAGCGAATCGAATAGCCGTTCCTAGGATCGACCGAAATATCCCACCCAGCCAGCTCGTGAGGGAGGGAGGGAGGAGCTCTGCAGGTGAGATGAACAGCAGTGGTGTCACGTGTTGTAGAACATGTGGAAGAGCGAGAAGGTTAGAAGACGTCTTTGACGTTGCGCTGTAGGGGCGGATCTCCGCACAGTTTGCCACTCTGTTTTCAGCAGATTTACTTTGTGTGCCCATTCGTCGAGTGTTGCGGAGTTAATTCGCAGGGACTTGGCCTCGATCCGTCGTGCGATGAGACGCCGGCTCTGTTGCAGTCCGCGTCCAAGACTGGGACACCAGAGGGGTGGCGGTACGCTGGACGTTCGGATTGGTTTAAGGATGGTTTCTCGTGCGTCGTAGAAGCGTTCGAACGTATCGCGATCTCTGTATTCGCTAAGCCTCTCGGCGACGGCGTCAAATAATAAGTCATACGGGTAGTTCTGCAGCCACCAGCACGCACGCGGTAGCACGGTAAACAGCATGGCCTCTCCGCTAATATACGTGTCCAGAGCACCGTGGTTGTCACGCAAGTCGTCCAGATACGGAAACACTTCTTCGATCATGGCCGCGTAAAAGTACGGGGCAAATGGCGGTGGGAAGACCAACAGCATCTAAATTACACATGTCACCCCCTCACCCCCTCACGACGATTCTCTCCATTACAACCCGGTGTACGTCGCTTACAACCCGGTGTACGTCGCTTACGTCCCAAATCGTTTGCAGGAGATCAAAAGACCTGATTGAGTGAGCAAACATGGTGACCAACCAGGGAATGGTGAAATGAAGTTCGGAGCCGTCTCCCATCCAACCGGCTCGGTATCGTTCATGCCTATTCAGAATGAGGCTTTTCAGGAGCTCGGGATTGAACCGGTACAGCAATTCTGATATGAACGCCATAGTTTGGTACATGCCAATGTCGAACCTGATCCGTGATTGAAGGTTGAATAACCGCGTTAAATAAAAGTTAACGAGGAAGTCCATGAAACGCGGCGAATCGAACACGTTCGCAGAGTTGAGTTCACAGAACACGACACACACTTCATGCGCGCCCTGGATGTACTGCAACTCGTAACTCTCCGTCTCGCCACTGTCTTCTGAACGGCCAGACGGCGGATCGATACCGCTGGTCGAGTGGCTGGTCGAGTGGCTTGTTAAGTCACTTGACGGATCGTCGGGCGGCGGCTGGTTCGGCATACACTGCTCGTCCGTTTCCGTTACTCTGTACACTTGGTCTTCTCGACATCCATTTAGGGTATTGCAGTTCTGCGGGTGCGCTGCAAATAGATCACGCAGTATAACCTCCAACCGCTCTTGGCGTTCCGAAATGGCTGACCTAGGCAGACCATAATGGAAGTCAAAGAATTGCATAGACCTCTGCACATCCACCCTTATCTGGCGCTTCAAATCCTTCATTTCGTCCGTGTCCATATCACATTCTCTAGCACCCAATTTGGCATACCCTTTCTGACATTGAGGCCAGCACAGTCGTGTCCAATATAGTGTAAGCTGTTCCCAGTCCCTCAGTCGTTGTTCATGTCGACTGGATAAATCATCTTGTTGACTGGATAAATCATCTTGTTGACTGGATAAATCATCTTGTTGATTGGATAAATCATCTTGTTGACTGGATAGATCTTGGTGGCCAAATTCTAAAGCACGGGTTAGCACTTTGGTTCTCAAAGCTTGAATCTCGTCATCCAAAGGAGTATCTGCCTAAGAAATGAAAGAAACCTATTCCTCTTTTTTTACCATGAATGTCGTATCAGCAACACCTATAATCGATTGAGCGGTTACTGCTGCATCGCAGTCAGTGAACGCGTTAGACTCGGCATAATGCGCGGATTTGTCCCGGGTCATTGTCCCGGGTCATATACAAAAAATGGCGTAAAATCCTGCGTGCATGCAGCTTCATAGCTCATCGAGAGCTTCATAGCTCATCGAGAGCTTCATAGCTCATCGAGAGCTTCATAGCTCATCGAGAGCTTCATAGCTCATCGAGAGCTTCATAGCTCATCGAGAACTTCATAGCTCATCGAGAACTTCATAGCTCATCGGGAGCGTCGTCTTTTATGGTGGCGTGGTTATTCGGGACGTGGTTATTCGGGACGTGTTTGTTGTTCGTAGTGTGTGCAATGGTGTTTATAGTGTGTGCAATGGTGTTCAGATTTTGTTGAGGATGAGTGTTGGGTATGCCTTCATCCCCGATAAGTATTTTCAGTCGATTGTCATAGTCTGTCCATTCAGGTATGATTCGTGTGGCCTGTTTAAGTTTATGTTCATGGGTCTTGGGGTTGTTGCATAAGTCAATAGTTTTAGCTTTGGATTTTGTTTTATCACTACACCATGTCTCGCACCATAGCCATTCCTTAGGTAGAGGGAATATGGGTACGAAATCTTGTATAGCATTGGGTAGATCTTGGTCTAGATTGGCAAGGCTATTAGGATCAGCACTTAGTTTATTATACATAGTTCGAAGAACATCTCCTACTCTTCGCTCTCTGAACAGTTTTAAATCTACTTTGAAAAGGGCGCTTATATGATATGGCCGTCCTTTCAAATAATCATACCAAAAGCCATGTTCCCAGAATCTGAATTGAGATGTCTCATCTCGATCATTACAGAATGGTGTAAATCCATAAACATGTCCCTTCATGTCCAAGTCCCAAAGGTCTCCTATATCACCTCTAACCACCTGGTCTGCGTCAATGTATATAATACTATTAAGATTCCTTGGAAACAATAAATCCAAAAATAGAATTTTGTTCGCCCATATTTGACGTTGCTTATCCACTTGGCTACGTAACCATTGAGGCCATCCGAATGATACATATCGTATTTCAATAAGATCTTTTTCCGTATTCAAACTGTATTGTAACTTATTAGCATACTCTTTAAATTTTGAACTTAAGAAATCTTCCAATATCCAAAATGTTAATTTCCTATCAGTATTATGACTAACACTAAGCATCATTATCCTTAATAGCCTCTCATACATATGCCCAGATGCTAAAGAGAATATATGCACTCGATCATCTCCTTTTTGCACATCATCATCTGGACCATAATACCAACGCCATATAGAAGAATATACTCGAGCAACGTATGGTTCATAAGGCTCCAAGATATGCTCACCGATAGCATATATTAATTGTGTACAACGTCCAAAAAGACTTCCTGCAAAAACACCTTCAACACGTTGCAATAATGTACCGATGATCGGGAGTTGATATCTTATCGGTATATTATCGAACAATACTTCACTACCAGTAAAGGTTGACATAATCTTAATAATGGAATCAGCCCTTGGCCATAAATCATAATTCCATGAGTTGATAGTAATCATATTATGGTCACTCATATTATGGTTACCCATAATTTGATTCACATCAAAATTATATTTTCGTGCTCCTCGTCCCTCTGTATAATTTGCATGAGTTATAGTAGTATTGTCGATCATGATCTTATATTGACCTATATCAGGCGCAACTAATTGGAAATAATTAGGTTGGCTAAGTGATATGGTCTCATCAAAAGTATGGTTAGTCTCTATATCAACAAGTCTTATTGGTACACCTCCTGTAACACTACCCCCAACTTCATGTATCGATCCTTCTATTCGGAATCCATCTAATCTATAATTCACAATGACATCATCCTTAAGTATATCCAATTTGATATTATCCATATCCACCTCACTCTCATCGGATCTGATATGTAATTGAGGAGCTATATCGATCTTGAACGTCACAATCTCGTCCGTTAGATTATTAAGGAACTTCGCACCGATAAAGCTCGATCTAAGAATACCGGTAGATTTACTACCGGTAGATTTACTATCTGGACCCGATATCTTCCTGCTTTTTTGTAACTGGAACATTAAAGGAGGCTGTTGTACAAAATCAAACCATTTATTGATGGGCAAATCTTTATACGACCAATGACTAGTAAGGATTACCTGAGTATTTAATCCTAAGTATACGTTCACATATTCCGCAAGATTACTATAGATTTGACCCATTGATGATAATGGATCAATCAATAACTTTATTCTCGCATCATCATTATCATCAATAATGGATGCCATCCTTAATCCTCTTAGACTGGGCTTACTAAAAAGCTCCTTCTCTAATTGCTGGTCCTCCATCCAATCATTATAATCTTGAGTATTCTTATTCAATAAAGAGTGATATAAATGAGACACTGCTTCCAAAATTATATTCTTCTCTTGTAAGTCAGGAACCATCGTATGAAACGTTATAGGTGATAGATATGGCAGCCTACCAGTCTCTGATAATCTAGAAATATTATTAGTGGTCAAACTTCTTCGATATATGCCAATCTGGGCATTAACGAGGGCTTGAATTCTCGATTTAACATGTCTCAAGAATGTGCGCGATCTTTGTCGAACGTTTTTCGATCGGTCATTCATAACAATGGCGGCCTCATCCAAATGCATATACATATTTCCTAAGATGATTGTACCCACTTTATGGTCTAATTCACCATCGATAATACTGCCCAAACAAATTAGGTCTTCTAGATCAATCGAACCTGATGTTGCCGGATAGCATAGCCTACCATCCTTCACAAAACTTACTCTGACATTGACCGGAAAAGGGGATATTATATACTCTTGATCATCCAACTGATCATCCAATTGATCATCCAATTGATCTGTTGCTCTAAGCTTATAAACGTTTGGTATTGGTCGCGATTCATCGTCCGCATTCAAGACAATCCAGACTACGAAAGGAGCTTCAATTCTCGATTGTTTGGCTAAGCTTGATCCCTCATACACTAGAATATTTACGGAGTGAGTCAGGAATGACGTGCCCATGGTTTTTGTTAATGTACGAATGGGAGATATTGAATCGCCATTTTCTTCAACTTTGAGGACTTTATTAATCTCCGATGGTGAGTATAAATGAACTAGTTTCTCGTCCACCATAACCATATTAGATGCCTCCATCCAGAAGTTGCCAAGATTAAAGCTCTCATGGTTTAGCTCTGTATCTAGCTTAGATGTGTCGCCGTCAACTAGCTCGTTCCTATACCATTTCCCTTCGAGTAGAGCAGCTAAATCTCTCAAACTTCGGATGTGCGTCAATACACCATTTGGTTTAGAGAAACCTAAAAGTCCATTCTGAAGCAAAACGGCATCGGTCTCAAGCATGGCCTTGACAAGCTCTATAGCCATTTCATCCATGAAAGGATTATCTACGGTGTCATCAATCTTAATACCACGACCGTTAACCCAGATTGTATTGATAGGGGGAGTGAAAGAATTCGCCCGACTCGTAAGATCGCCGTCCTGAGGATCTTTCTGTGAATTGTCATCACCCTGAGAATTGTCTCCTTCATCCTTCGATGATGACAATTCCCTAATTGCCTGGATGATCGTTTCATAATCGTCGTGACTTTTCAGAAGACGACTTGTCAGCTCCGGCTGGTCCGGATCATTTAGTACCACTAACCATCGAAGACCATTAGCTTGTAGCTCACCAATCAGTCTGGGAATAAGTTCAAGTCGTTTTCGGTCCACATATATGATGATGTCAGCAAAGTGGAAATTGGGTTCAACGCTACCCCAATCAATGATGGTTATGTCGGACATTAAACCGTACTGAAGCGCCTTAGCATACTCCACCACTCCCAGTTGACGAACCTCGTCGTTTTGTGTGTGCAACCATTGTGTTTCTCCGATGCCCATACGTTCGAGAAATAATGTTGGATTCCATCGTGCTCGAGACTCGTCTAAATTGAAGTCTCCTAAAATTCTGGAAGCTTGCCGGACCAGTCCAATAAGACTACTTGTTACTTTCTCGTTTTTTTCCGATCCCTTCCATCTCTCAGGAGATCCAATCTTACGTGCTATAATATCGCAATCCTTTATATGCTTTACAAAAGTCGATCGAATAATCTCGTCATGTAAAGCCATTGGCCACAACCATTTTAGAAGAAAATCAGAAATGAATCCAGTAGTCATAGAACGAAGCGATTGGTGTGTGCTCGGTATTATATGCGCTCGTTTACCATCCACGAACACACCATTCAATCGAGTTTGAACAACACGATCTAACGAATGACTTCCTTTCATAATTAACTTGGCTACAGTGCTATTAAATTTACCAAACACATCAGGCGCATGACTTAATAGGTTACTACTAATACCCTTAATACAACTCATCTTCACCGTCTCAGCATCCACCACATAATCATCACATACTGACTTTTCATGCCTTAAATATTTCTCCACCTCCGTCCTCATAAAAGTCATAGTAGCAACACCTAGCGAACTCAACTACAACACATCCCAGTCTCACATGGAACCATAAGAACCCAGTAGGGGTAGGAAGGAAACGGATATGAAGGTAGGAAAGGAGTGGGAAAGGAGTAGGGAAGGGGTATGGAAGGCGTACGTTTGCTTTATCAGAAATGAGATCATGCAGATTGCTTATGGTCTTTCCACTGAGCATGTCCTTGTGTGCATGATGATCATTTAATTCTTCGTCATCTACGTTTTTAAGATGGATCTTATCGGAGGTTTCAGCCTCATTAGATGTTTTGTACTCAGGGTTCTTTAGTACTAAGCTTGCCGCCCAGTTGCGAACTGCAAAGTTCTCAAGTGTGGGGTAGTGGTAGTAACGGTAAGCGTTGTGACGGTCGTTATTTACGAACTGAGCAAGTGATACGAGTTCATCTGCTAACATGAGGTCTGAATGGAAAATGTGGTACTCGCCGTCGGGCAACTCGGTAACTCCCTTGTTACGCCGTTGGGTCCACAGTGAAGCTGGTTCAAGAAATTGCAGCAACCGCGAGCTTGTTGGTTCGTGTTCCACATGAACTAAGCTGGAAGCGAATTGTTGAGGATCTTCCGTCCACCCTCCTGCAATGACTCTACCATCGGTAATCCGGTAAACGCTGTACCAGCCATGTCGAGGCATGTCTTCCCGCTCCACGTTCTTGGAACTATGATTCAGTATTTTGGAGCTGTACACCAGTGGTTCAGAGCCGTGGTGTTCCCTGATATTGTGGTCTTCCTTGGAGGCATGAATATTGTTAAGTTGAAATAACAGTTGAAATTCCTCTTTGCTGATTGCTTGCTGTTGTTGGAGCGGTGGAACAAACATTCCGTTTGCCACAAGTCCGTCCAGGACGGTGCCCATGAGCTTGGAATGCAGCACAAAGGAACCGGTACCGAGTGGACACCCTGACTCTAGCGGCAGTCCCCCATCGGGATCTGGTATGTTGAAAGTGCCACAAACCAAATCTTCTTCTCTTTGGGCCCGAGACCGTCCATCTGAACTCGGAGCAGTTACGCCGCCTATCCACTTAGCAACCAGCGAGTCCCCCCAGTTTGCCGATTCCTCTAAGAAACGAATTCCCTGGAAGATTTGACCAGCCAAGCTCGGACTCTCCCATGGAGCCTGCACACGCACCTTCAGACCCCCAACCACCGCCAGCCAAGGTATGATGATTTTCATTTATTTTGACTCATGAACATCCGGCCTCTAATAGCACTTGTATCACACATAACATTGGCCGCGGCCAATGAGATATACAACGTATGCGCCATGACCAAGTACGCAATCAAACTCAAGAGTAACCCTACTACGGGCTACCGCTGGATGGTAATAATACTCTCTGTCCCCCCCGAATACTCTCTGTCCCCCCTGCTTCCCCC